TTTACATCTTTTAGGCGACTATCGTCCCGGATGTGCTGGGATCTCTCTGGGGACCTTGTTGACCATGGGTCACCTTGCTGAATGCGCTGAGATGCTCATCAGTCGCTCACCTGGTGTGTATCAGTTCTGGGTATTTAGATCACTTGCGATCGCTGTCGACTCACCTTCCGGATCATCTGGAATAGTGTCTTTGCCTGTTTCGACTGTAGCGGACTTCTGCGGATCGCGACCAGTGGTCGGTCGCAGGGTCACCACTCGACCTTGCCTTCACTGACTGGGTCACTACTCGACCTTGCCTTCACTGGCTGGGTCACTACTCGACCTTTTTTTTTTTGCGATCGGCGCAAGGCGGAGGAATGCATTTACGCATACCACGGTGGGTCGGCCCACCGGGTTATGTGGGACTCACCTATGCCCGGGGTACTAATTACCCCGGTACTGAGGCACCTCGCCCCGGCTAGTTTCCCCACGTAATCGAGCCATTGAAATGACCCGACTGCCGTAGAGATCCCAGCCGAGGCATCAGCCTCAGCTAGTTCTACCCACTAAACCTCCGCCCGGGTCTGATCACAAACCCCTTCTCCGTGATGCTGTCGCTGGAGGAACTGTTTGCCACATATCAACTCCAACGGCAACTGGATGCGTCGTTCCAAACGCTCTCTTCCATATATATATATATATATATATATATGTCAAAGGGTTTGTTCCGAGACAGTTAAAAATCTTACAGTTTTTAAATACATTTTAATAAAGCAAACTGATTGTGACCTAAAAAAGTTAAATGTTTTTTTCCGTTCTCGAGATATTATGTTTTAAAGTCTTTCAAGACACTTGCATAATGGCAGCTTTCAGGACAATAGTGATTTCCAGGACTGCCCTGGAATAATTCTATGTATAATGGTGTATTTCAGGACAAATAACAATGTACGATGCTAAAAATGTTTCTATGTTAAGATAAATTCACATTATTACCCCATTTGTCTTGCTCGCTTTCAGGACGAAAGCGAGCAAAATAAACTTGGCCAATGATATTATGGATGCGTTCGGGGAAACGCGATTAGCGCTATTAACATTTCTCCTTCGTGTTTCTTCTTTCTAAACAAAAGGAAAAACGAAGAAAAAGAAACACTGGTAGCGCTCTCCCCGAACACACCCTATGTGTATAATGTGAATTATCCTTAAAATACATGTGATCTAACCCTTATTGCAAAACGTTGGTATTACCGAATGCGACACATGCTGTGTGCCGGTTTTGTATGCAGGTTATATAGCCTTGAATTGCGCGGTACTAATATTAGTTTTGATAAAAATATTTCATTATTTTTGGTATTTTTAGCTTTTTACTTTAGCCAAACTATGTTTTCTTTACTCAAATTGAAACATACTAAAACATTAATAGTTGTGAAATCTACTAGTCTAATTAAAAAGAAAAAAGATTATTTGATAAAATTAGACAATGGAAACGATGGGTTGGAATATTTCTTTGTAAATCGGGTAAGTAAAATAAACTGATTGTGACCTAAAAAAGTTAAATGTTTCTTTCCGTTCTCGAGATATTATGTTTTAAAGTCTTCCAAGACACTTGCATAATGGCAGCTTTCAGGACAATAGTGATTTTCAGGACTGCCCTGGAATAATTCTATGTATAATGGTGTATTCCAGGATTTGAAAAATAAAATATTATTTAAAATTTTTGGATGTTTAGAACATTATAATAAATATAAATAATAATAAAAAATACAAGAAATTGCAATCATATCCAATTGGTTCAAATAAAAAATATTTAACAAATGTTACGGAAAAAATGCAATTAATTTTAGTTATTTTCAGATGAAAGACACACTCTTATAGAAATAAAAAAGAACATAGATACCAACTCACCAAAAATTCTAATAAAGGATGTTAACAAAGGGTCAAGTGACCAATATGAAAATAATGAAACTACTGGTAATTTTTATATACTGATTTTTTTTATAATTATAATTATTGCCTATTATACTGCATAAATTATATGTGAAAGATCAAATTCTTTAATATTGTTACTTTTAGTATTTAAATACTGAAGTTTCAATATTCTAGCACTGTGCTGTAAGAGAATCTTTGTCGAAAGTATATATCTTAAAATATATCTTATCAGACCTCTATTCTAATATTAAGTAAATCAAATGATACAATAATTTAAGCATTTAATAGAATCTTAATTTAATTTTAATACAAATAAATTTAATTTTAATAATAAAAATGATATTGCGTGTGAAGAAACATAGAAATGATACTAACGCTATACTAATTATAAGTAATTTCTATACTAATAATTTGTAACAATCTTCAGAATTGCTTCATTTGTAAGTAAATTTAAGAATGCACAGTTTAACATTGTAGATGCAAAGTTGGTTCAAGATGTTTTAGAAGAGCATGTGAAAGATATAATAAATTGGATATATGTATCATTAACAAAAAGATGTAATAAATTAACATAAAGTTAGTAATTTAATTTATTTCAATAAAAATATATTTAAAAAATGTGTATTATGTTATAATATTATTAAAAAATTGTTATAAATAATGAACTGCTATTCTACCCAGATAGCACAATAGTTTGCAAAGAGTTCAAAAGAGTTCGCAAAGAATTTATTGAAGCTTCACTAAATTCTTTGCGAATTCTTTTGAACTCTGCGAACTATTGTGATATCTGGGTAGCATTACGCAGTAATGAAATCTTTGTCGAAAGCAATTTTTAATGGACACAAACAACAATAAAAGCCATACGTGTAAATTATATTATTAAGAGTAATATTTACAAAGATGTTTTTGAATTATTTGCAGGTAATGAGCCAATAAATATAACAAATAATGACAAATGTGCTTCCAATGCAGACACAATAAATCAATTTCATATTAACATGAGGAATCAAATACTATAGTAAACTCATATTTAGATTTGGATGTGAAGTCCGATTTTCACAATGATAAATTACAGAGCAATGTTATAACTAATAAAAATTTACAAAGTCATACATTAGATAAAACTAAATCTTCTAAAACCTATCCTCGAATTATAGAAGACAAGAAATGCAAAATAAATATGACTATTTTATCAAAAAGTAGTGACACAACAGCAAATAGTTCATGTAATACATCTATTCTGGGGAATTTGGAACTTTCTGATGTAAATCTTTCTGATGTAAATGTTTCTGATATGAATGGAATAGACATAAATAATTTTGAAAATTGTGGTACAAATTTAAATAATAATAATGGAGAAGAAATGATTCACGAAGTACTAGCTGAAAATAAATCCACGTTTACATCTATCACTGAAAATACTGAACTGGACAGCACTATAGTACCATTTTGTGATTTAAACGGAGTTAAGAATTCTTCTATAAACAACGATATAAATAACAATGACAATAAATTATATTGCAGTAACTCACAAATTGAAAATGTCTCGCAAAATACAGGTATGTATATTTTTATTAATTTGTTCCTTTAAAAAGTATTTAATTATGTTCGCAATATTGGTTTCGCTAAAGACAGTATATTTACAGTATATTTAAAAAGAACAATATTATAAAAGTTAAATTTAGATTTGTTATTAAGCTTAAATAAAATATTTAATAATTTTTATCCATCAAATTATTACGTAGGGTAATATAAACTAATACTAATTTAATAACTAAAAATATAATATAAACTAATTTTTAATTTTTTTTCTTCGCTCACAATAATAAAAAAGTAACAGTTTACGTAGTTAAGCGTCGTTTACAATGAGATTTTAAAACGTAAGACGTAAGAAATTGAACAATCACAGACAAGATTAGAGAAGAATAATCTCTCTTCGACTGTATTAGTCAATTTCTTAAGTCTTACGTCTAAAAATCTCATTGTAGACGACGCGTTACATATCGTTTATAAATTCTTTTGAATTAAGCTAACTTAATGTAAATAATGTGGTATACTTTTTAAATATAATTTAACTTTAATTTGTTATTTTTAAAAATTAAATTCATTAAGTATTAACTTATTAAATTGTCAATAAATAAAATTTATTAATTTTACTCAATTATTTTCTTTACGTAGCATTTCTATAATTTGATAGAATAATTTGATAAAAATAAAGCATAATATTTTTAACATTCATATATTTTTAAAATAAAATCTTTTAAAATGTTTATTATTTCAGATTTTGAGAAAAATAAAATTTCTAATGTAAGCGATAAAGATTCAGATTATGAACCATCTATTCAGAGTTCAAATGATACTGATATTGAACATACTGATATTGAAATAAATGATGATTTAGAAATTGCAAATAATGAATCTAGCATATTAGCAAATTCTTCAGAAAATGCAAACGAAAAAAATATGTTAGAAAAAGAATGAGAAACATGCAAAGATGATGAATTATTTGTAGAATTGTTTCAAGGGCCCAAAGGAGATAAAAAATATAATTTTTGCTTTTACTGCAATACTATGCAAAGTAAAATTGCTCGGCACCTAGAATTAAAACATAAAAATGAAGAAGAAGTAAAAATGTTTTTATTACTTCCAAAAAAATCTAGAGAGCGAAGAGATGCAATTAGTCAAATAAGAAAAAGAGGCAATTTTAAATATAATACACAGGCAGATTTAAATAACGGTTCCATGATTGTTGTAAGAAGACCTACTAAAGAAGAGAAGCAATGTGGTTCTTATTTTTTACCATGTTCTAAGTGTAGAGGACATTATGCAATACATAATCTCAGGCATCATTATCGCATTTGTGCTAAGAAGAAAGATACAACTCGAAATGTATTAAAATTAGCACGAAGCGCTGCACAATCTGTTCATAATCGTGCAAGCCATAAATTAAGAAAGGACATTCTTCCTGTCATGCGAAATGACAATATTTATAAATTAATAAAGTACGATTTATTAATTATACTATACGGAAATTACCTCTGTCAAATTCATAGATTGCAGCATTTAGGAGACCACATACGACGAAACAATTACGACTTCTTGGACGATATTTAGAAGTATTAAAATCAATAGAACCGGCAATACAAGAATTACAAATGCTATTTGACCCGAAATATTATGATATTGCTATAAAAGCAGTAAATATAATTGCTAAATATAATGAAGACACAGAATCATATGATATACCATATAATGCTACAGCTATGGGCACATGTTTAAAAAAATTATGTAAGATCTTAATCAACGAATTTATTAAACAACATGAATACGAAAAACAAAAATCAGCAAAAAATTTTCTAAAGATTTTAGAAGTCGAATATGGTAGTACCGTTAATAAAACAGTTACAGAAATACAGACTAGAAACAGTCGAAAGAAAAAAGTTAATCTTCCGAAAACATCAGATATCAAAAAGTTAACCAATTATTTAGAAGAAATAAGAGTATCTAGCATGCGAGAAATAAAAAATAAATTCACGTTTTGTGCTTGGAAATCACTTGCTGAAGCAATATTAATAATGATTCAAATTTTCAATCGGCGACGTGCAGGAGAGATAGAAAGAGCTTACATTGTTGATTACAAAAATTTCATAAAAATTACAAAAGAGGATGAATTATATAAAAGGTTACCACAAAAAGAAAAAATATCTGCTTTAAAGTACATTCGTTTCACAATTCGTGGCAAGCTAAATCGGAACGTCCCAGTCCTTTTGAATGCTAAAATGAAAGAGGCTTTAGACATAATTTTAAGATATCGGAAATTGGCAGGAGTAAGTTCAAAAAATCCATATATATTTGGATTGCCAGGTGCAGATAAAAAACGATTTAGATATTTAAGAGCGAGTAAATTGATGCGTGAATTTGCTAATCTATGTGGAGCAGAGAACAAAGAAAGCTTACGTGGGACTATTTTACGGAAAGACATGGCAACAAAATGTTCACACTTACCAGATAGTGAAATTTCTCTCATTGCTGATTTTATGGGTCACCATAAGGATATACATAAAAATATTTACAGACAGCCTGTAGTAGAATCTGATATTTTAAATATGGCCAAAATTTTAGAGAAAACTCAAGATATATCTACACATAACACTGATATTGACACTACTAATAATACAAATACTAATACTACTAATTCAAACAGTACAACAGATGCTAATACTTCAGAGAATAGTATTAACGAAATTCAAAGCTTAGGTATTTTAAAAGTTCTTCAATTCTTTTATAATTTTAGAGAATACTTTTATAATATTATACTTATTGTTAGTAATTGTATTAGATTGTATCATATGGAATTGCTGATATTTGATAATTGGATTATTTCGTTCGATTTAAAAAGCTCGAATAAAAAAAGGAATATACAATTTAATATTAAGTAGACAGAAAAATATTATTGCTAATAATGTATATTTTGAGTGTATAAAATCTATTTCCTTAAAAGTACAACATTTTTATTTTGACACAAAAACGACAATTTCATATGATAATCTATCATATATATATAAATGAAAAAAGAAAATTTGTATTATATATTTTTTTACATAAAGTTTATTTTTAACAATATAGTTGAAGACGAAGCATCAGAGAATAATTTGCCAAAGAAAATTTTGCTAAAACAAAAAAATGTAAAAAAACGCGCCATAGAAAATATAAATAATTCAGATGAAGAATGTGCGCCAAAAAAGAAACGATTCAGTAAGTCAAATAATATTACAATTATACATGTATATAAAATCATTAAAGAAATGCATACCTTTTTCTTAATATTAAAATTACTTTTCTTAATTTGTGACGATATATTTATAGATTTAATTATAATTTATGTTTAGCACCTCCTTACGGAAAGACCAGAAGAATACGTTGGACTTCTGAAGAAAAGCAAACAGCTTTATTACTCTTCGAAACGAATATTAATAATTCTACTTTACCTTCGTTAAAGGAAATAATATCCAAAACGCGCAAAAACATTTTGAAAAATCGACAGCCAGCAGCAATAAAAACTTGGATACACAATCAATTTCGCAATAAAATATAAATGTCATTAAATAAAAGAAAATTAAAAGTCTTTAAGTCTTAATAAACATAAAGTAACTTAACATAATAAAAATAATTGTGTACAATAAATAAATATAATTACAGAATTATATTTATTTACACAATTATTTTTATTATGTTAAGCTACTTTATGTTCATTAAGACTTAAAAACTTTTAATTTTCTTTTATACTTTATCACTTATACTGATATTACATCTAAATAATCTGTTTCTATGTTTTTTAGTATCGCTTTTTAGTATTTATTCAGTTTTGTTTATTTATATATAAATGTAATATCAGTATAACAGTAATAAAGTGTATGAATAGTCATAAACGTGATAAAGTGTAAAAGAATTATTTTTATTTACATATTTATTTTTATTATAGTAAGGCACTTTGTGTTTATTAAAACTTAGAGACTTTAAATTTCTTTTATTTTTAATTATTTTTATTGCGTTAAGCCACTTTGTATTCATTAAAACTTAGGGACATTTAACTTTCTTCTATTTTGTATTATTTTTATTGCGTTAAGAAACTTTGTGTTCAATAAAACTGATTGTTAGAGTCTTTAAATTTTCTTTTATTTTTAATTATTTTTATTGCGTTAAGCCATTTTGTGTTCATTAAAACTTAGAGATCTTTAATCTTCATTTACGTAATTATATTTATATTTTATAATATTACTTTTTAGGAACTCTTTTATATCTTAGCGCACAGCTTAATTACATACATTTGTAATTACATTAAATATTTTGAAATGAGGTAAATGTTAAAGTAACTATTCTTTCCGTATAAGTAACTATATTTTTAAAAATAATTTTCTTTTATACTAAGACAATGTACTGCAAAACATTATATATTTATATGTAGCTTTAATTTTTTATGTAATATTTGTAATTCATATAAAGATATATACTTTTTCGCCCGCAGACCGCGATATCGAATATCTTTTTAATTCGATTTATATTTTTTTAATTTGTAAGTTCTGTGATTTTTTTAATTTGTAGGTTCTGCGAATATTTGTTTCTGAATTAAAACAGGATAATTATATAAATAGTATAATATAATAATTAATAAAGAATAAATTTTATGATGCACGTTTAATCATGTGTTTCATTAATTTCCTTGAGATTAAAAAAAATACATTTTCTTAGAAACAAAATTTTTTTACTTATAAATTAAAGTGTATTTATTAAAAATTTGTCTTAAATATACTTAGACGAAAATTAAGTTTCTGCTAATATACAATGTTCTCCTTTGTATTGATTATTGTCTATTGACTTTAAACAATCATTAGTCGTAAGCGCAAATATAAATAATTTTATTCTCTTATAATTATTAATAAAAAAATTTTTTTTAAATCATTAACAAAAAACTTAGAATAAATGTACTCGAAGGTACGTTGTTTCTCGGATGTTTAATGTCATATTATTTACAATTTGTTTTTGTCCTGGAAATGATCGCTAGGCCACAAAATGGGATATTTTTTCAATTAATAGGCATACAACGAAGCGAAAATAATATTATACATATACAAATATTACTTATAGCTATTCTTTCCATGCTTCGTTGCCTGAGATGCGTGTATCGTGTTATAGTGGGCTAATTTTCACGTCGTGTGCCGATATTCATATTGATAAGAATTACAAATATTGTTATTAAGAATTATTCAGGTTTATTGAAGAAAGTTAACTGTTGTTGTCAGATCACGTTTTCAAAAGTTATACGTCCAATGAATTAAATCTAAAAAAGTAAATATTATTTTCTGGCCTAATGTTCGTTTCAAGAGCATAATAGATTATTATCTATTATAACAAATAATGTGATATTAAATATATATAGTATAATATATATAATATATAATATATAGTATAACAAATAATGTGATATTAAATAATGATATTAAATAATTTGCCTCGAAATATAAATTATCCTGTAAGTATTGCCTCACAATGAGATGATCTTGCTTATTATTCTGTATAACGGGTTGCAAGTCAAAAGATATTTATTGTTTTCTGGAAAATTTAAATAAAAAAATCATATTATGTAAAAACCCATTAATATACTTATATATTACAGGATAAATGTATTCCAAAGCAAATTATTTATTCAAGTAATTATATAATATTACATTATTTGTGAGAATTTGGTTGTGTCCTGTAAATGAACGTTAGGTTATTTACCCCCAGAAAATATGTACACTTTTTTTAGATTTAACTCATTGGACGTACATATTAACATTTAAAAACACGATCTGATAATAACAGATCTGATAATTAATTAATTTCCTTCTGCGAATATGTGTAATTCTTAACAATACAAATCATTCTTAACAATATGAGTATATCAGCACGCGGCGAGAAAATCAGCCCCACTATTACGCAATACACGTGTCACGCATATCAGGCAACGACATATTGGAGGAATGGTTATATAAGTAATATGTGTATATGTATAACATTATTTTCGCTTCGTTGTATATCTGGTAATTGAAAAAAATATACAACCATTTGTGGCCTAGCGTTTGTTTCCAGGACATAGCGGGAAAATTAGTTCATTATGACGCTATAAGTATCACGCATATCAGACAACGAAGCATTGGAGCAATGGCTATGTGTAATTAGTGTATATGTATAATATTATTTCCATTTCGTTATATGTCTGGTAATTGAAAAAAATACAATTATTTTGTGGCCTAGCGTTTGTTTCCAGGACACAACAAAATTTTTATCAATAATACAATATTAAATATATAAATGAAGCACTCGGCTTGGACATTTATTCTAAATCTCTCTCAAATGAATTTCATTTTTTATGTAGATTATTCATCCATTTAATTTGAAAGTGACTTGCATTATTCCTATTATACAGATGTTCGATAATATATAAAAACGATAAAATCTCGCTGCACGAATATTAGCGTTAGATGGGAAGATAAGTGAGCGATGACAGTCTATTGTGACGCGATATGCGTCATGCATATCATGTTACAATAGACTGATCTCATCGCACTAGAATAAATGTCCGAGCTGAGAGTGCTCCATTCAACTATTTAATATTGTATTATTTATAAAAATTTTATTGTGTCCTGGAAACGAACGCTAGGTCACAAAATGATTGTATTTTTTTCAATTACCAAGCATACAACAAAGCAGATATAATATTATACATATACACATATTACTTACAGCCATTCTTCCAATGCTTTGTTGCCAGGTATACGTGATATTTATCGCGTCATAGTGAAGTAATTTTCCCGCCATGTCCTGGAAACGAACTCTGATATATTTTTATCAATTACCAGGCATACAATAAAGCAGAAATAATTTTATACATATACACATATTATTTATAGCCATTCCTCCAATGCTTCTTTGCCTGATATACGTGATATTTATCGCGTCATAGTGAACTAATTTTCACTCAATGTCCTGGAAACAAACTTTGATATATTTTTATCAATTATACCAGGCATACAACGAAGCGGGAATAATATTACACATATACACATATTACTTATAGTCATTCCTCCAATTCTTCGTTACCTGATGTGCGTGATATGTATTGCGTCATAGTGCGCAGATTTTCCCGCTGTGTGCTGATATACTCATATTGTTAAGAATTACACAGCTTCGCAGAAGAGAGTTAACTGACATAGCCAGATCGCGTTTTCAAATGTTAATATGTACGAGTTAAATCTTAAAAAAAGGTAAATATCATTTTATTTGGTCTGTGTTCGTTTTCAGGGCACAACCAAATTCTTACAAATAATGTGACATTAAATAATGATATTAAATACTTGAATAAAAAATTTGCTTCCTAATGCATATTTTATGAGATTGCGTCACAGTAAGATAAACTTATTTATTATCGGATACTCTGTATAACGGGTGTGCAAGTCAAAAAACAAATTGAAGCATATCTTACTTTTTGCAGTTTTGTTATGAGTAAGTTACATTTTTTATAAATAAATATGTTTTTATGTCATTTGTTTTCAATATTGGTATGAAAAAGTCTCGCTTAAAACCAAAATAACGTTGGTGCAACCGGGAATAATTATAGCATCTAAAGGACCACGCACAAATCGTAGGGAAAAATGGATATCAGTCGATTTGGTTGAAAATTTAGTATGATGTGTATGACGTCCTGATTCAAAGTTCCAATGGGCACAAGGTTTGTGTGACCAGTTTTCGAGATATGGGGGTCAAATGTTGGAAATATAGTCATTTATTTATTGAATTAGACGCAATCGCTACGGTTAGAATTCACGGATCAAAATGAAAATTAGTCAGAGTCCCTTGGGACAGTACCCGATAAAAGAAATTAATAAATATGTGTATATACAGGGTGTCTCTAAAATCTGTCCCCGCCCCTGGATTTTAGAAACGACTGTAAATATGAAAAAACGTTTTAGATGAAAGTTGTAGGGTTCGAAGCGAGACATAAGAAGATACTATTGGTTTGTTCTTAGGCTGCGTTGTTAAGGTCACATAAAGGTCATCGCCATTTTTTTAAATGGAATTACAATAATTGTTTTATGTACGTAAATTCCTTGTAACATTCTGCATAAAAAGTTATAAGGATAACATGGTCAATAATTGCATCGTTTACGAGATATTTAATATGTAAATCTGACATATTTTGACAAAATATAAGATACCTCATGAAATATTTATTTTTCGATAATCTTACTTTGATACTTTTATGTATAGAATAATGAAACGAATCAATTGGTGCAAAAAAAATGCATGATTGTTTATAACAAAAAATGTGTAATTTGCAATGTACTTTTTGTTATAAACAACCATGCGTTTTCTTTACACCAATTGATTCGTCTCATTATTCTGTGCATAAAAGTATTGGGGTAAGAACATTGAAACAAATATTTTACAAGGTATCTTATGTTAAAATGTCAGATTTACATATTAAATATCACGTAAGCGATACACTTTTTGGCCATATTATCCTTACTAACTTTTTATGCAGAATGTTACAAGAAATCTATTTACCTAAAACAATTG